GTATGTTATTATTCTTGGTAAGAAAGGTGTAATTATTGTATGTTACTATTCTTGACAACAAGTGTAATTACTGTATGTCATTAGTCTTGATAACAGAAGTGTAATTATTGTATGTCACTATACTTGGTAACACAAATGTAATTATTGTATATCACTATTCTTGGCAACAGATGTGTAATTATTGTATGTTATTATTCTTGGTAAGAAAGGTGTAATTATTGTATGTTACTATTCTTAATAACAGAGGTGTAATTATTGTTTGTTACTATGTTTGATAACAAGTGTAATTACTGTATGTCATTAGTCTTGATAACAGAAGTGTAATTATTGTATGTCACTATACTTAGTAACAGAAATGTAATTATTGTATATCACTATTCTTGGTAATAGAAGTATAATTATTATATGTTAAATTTCTTGGTAACACAAGTGAAATTATTGTGTATCACTATACTTACTTATAGAAGTGTATGTATTGTATATCACACTTGGTAACACAAGTGTAATTATTGTGTATCACTATACTTGCTTACAAAAGCGTAAATATTGTATATCACACTTGGTAACACAAGTGTAATTATTGTGTATCACTATACTTGCTTACAGAAGTGTAATATTGTATATCACTGTACTTGATAACAGATTTGTAATTCTTGTATGTTACTATTCTTGGTAACAGAGGTGTAATTATTGTATACCCCTAAACTTGATAACAGAAGTGTAATTCTTGTATGTTACTATTCTTGGTAACAGAGGTGTAATTATTGTATACCCCTAAACTTGATAACAGAAGTGTAATTCTTGTATGTTACTATTCTTGGTAACAGAGGTGTAATTATTGTATACCCCTAAACTTGATAACAGAAGTGTAATTCTTGTATGTTACTATTCTTGGTAACAGAGGTGTAATTATTGTATGTCACTACATTTGATAACAGAAGATTAATTATTGTAAGTCACTATTTTTGATAAAACAAGTGTAATTATTGTATATCACTATACTTGATAGCAGAAGAGTAATTATTGTATGTCATTATAATTGGTAACAGAAGTGTAATTATTATATGTTACTATTCTTGGTAACAGAAGTGTAATTATTGTATATCACTATACTTGATAACAAAAGTGTAATTATTGTAATTGACCATACTTGATAAGAGAGGTGTAATTATTGTATGTTACTATACTTGGTAATAGAAGTGTAATTATTGTATGTCACTATACCTGGTAACAGAAGTATAATTATTATATGTTAAATTTTTGGTAACACAAGTGTAATTATTGTGTATCAATATACTTGCTTACAGAAGTGTAATTATTGTATATCACTAAACTTGGTAACAGAAGTTTAATTATTATATGTCCCCATACATGGTAACAGAAGGGTAAGCATTGTACATTACTATTCTTGGAAAACAGAAGTGTAATTATTGTACGTTACTATTCTTGGTAACAGAAGTGTAATTATTGTATATCACTATACTTGATAACAGAAGTGTAATTCTTGTATGTTACTATTCTTGGTAACAAATGTGTAATTATTGTATATCCCTATACTTGATAACAGAAGTGTAATTACTGTTTGTTACTATTCTTAGCAACAGAGGTGTAATTACTGTTTCTTACTCTTCTTGGGAACAGAGGTGTAATTACACCTCTCTTACCAGGAATAATAACATACAATAATTACACGTCTAGCTTTCTTACTATTAGTAAGTAGTGTTAGTATTCTTGTAAGAAAGGTATCATTATTGTATGTTACTATTCTTGTAAGAAAGGTATCATTATTGTATGTTACTATTCTTGATAACAGAGGTGTAATTATTGTTTGTTACTATTCTTGATAACAGAAGAGTAATTACTGTTTGTTACTATTATTGGCAACAGAGGTGTAATTATTGTATGTTACTATTCTTGGTAAGAAAGGTGTGATTATTGTACATTACTATTCCTGATAACAGAGGCATAATTATTGCATGTTATATTTTCTGGTAAGAGAGGTGTAATTATTGTATGTTAGTATTCTTGATAACAGGTGTGTAATTATTAGATGTTACTATTCATGATAACAGAAGTGTTATTATTGTATATCACTATACTTGATAACAGAGGCATAATTATTGCATGTTATATTTTCTGGTAAGAGAGGTGTAATTATTGTATGTTAGTATTCTTGATAACAGGTGTGTAATTATTAGATGTTACTATTCATGATAACAGAAGTGTTATTATTGTATATCACTATACTTGATAACACAAGTGTAATTATTGTATGTCACTATTTTTGGTAACAGAAGTGTAATTACTGTTTGTTACTATTATTTATAACAGAAGTGTAATTACAGTTTGTTACTATTATTTATAACAGAAGTGTAATTACAGTTTGTTACTATTCATGGCAACAGAGGTGTAATTATTGTATGTTACTATTCTTGGTAAGAAAGGTGTAATTATTGTATATCACTATTCCTGGTAATAGAAGTGTAATTATTGTATGTTACTATTCTTGGTAAGTAATGTGTCATTATTGTATTTTACTATTCTTGATAACAGAGGTGTAATTATTGTATTTTACTATTCTTGATAACAGAAGTGTAATTATTGTATGTTACTATTCTATATAACAGAAGTGTAATTACTGTATGTCATTAGTCTTGATAACAGAAGTGTAATTATTGTATGTTACTACACTTGGCAACAGAACATTAATTATTGTATGTCACTATTCTTGATAACAGAAGTGTAATCATTGTGTATCACTAAACTTGCTTACAGAAGTATAATTATTGTATATCACTAAACTTGGTAACAGAAGTGTAATTACTGTATGTCATTAGTCTTGATAACAGAAGTGTAATTATTGTATGTTACTATACTTGGCAACAGAACATTAATTATTGTATGTCACTATTCTTGATAACAGAAGTGTAATCATTGTGTATCACTAAACTTGCTTACAGAAGTATAATTATTGTATATCACTAAACTTGGTAACAGAAGTGTAATTATAGTATGTCCCTACACTTGGTAACAGAAATGTAATTATTGTATGTCACTATTCTTGGTAACAAAAGTGTAATTATTGTATGTTACTATTCTTGGTAACAGAAGTGCAATTACTGTTTGTTACTACGCTTGGCAACAGAAGTGTAATTATTGTATATCACTATACTTGATAACAGAAGTGTAATTATTTTATGTTAGTATTCCCGGTAATACAAGTGTAATTATTGTATATCACTATACTTGGTAACAGAAGTGTAATTATTTTATGTTACTATTCTTGGTAATACAAATGTAATTATTGTATATCACTATACTTGGTACCAGAAGTGTAATTATTTTATGTTACTATTCTTGGTAATACAAGTGTAATTATTGTATATCACTATACTTGATAACACAAGTGTAATTATTGTATGTCACTATTCTTGGTAACAGAAGTGTAATTACTGTTTGTTACTACTCTTGGTATCAGAGGTGTAATTATTGTATGTTACTATTCTTGGTAAGAAAAGTGTAATTACTGTATGTCATTAATCTTGATAACAGAAGTGTAATTATTGTATGTCACTATACTTGGTAACAGAAATGTAATTATTGTATATCACTATTCTTGGTAATAGAAGTGTAATTATTGTATGTCAGTATTCTTGATAACAGAAGTGTAATTATTGTATAACACTGTACTTAATAACAGAAGTGTAATTATTGTATGCCATTATAATTGGTAACAGAAGTGTAATTATTATATGTTACTATTCCTGGTAAGAGAGGTGTAATTATTGTATGTTACTATTCTTGGTAACAGAAGTGTAATTATTGTATATCTTTATACTTGATAACAGAAGTGTAATTACTGTATGTTACTATTCTTGGTAAGAGAAGAGTAATTCTTGGATGTTACTATTCTTGGTAACAGAAGTGCAATTATTGTATGTTACTATACTTGGTAACAGAAGTGTAATTATTGTATGTTACTATACTTGGTAACAGAAGTGTAATTATTGTATGTTACTATACTTGGTAACAGAAGTAATTCTTGTATGTTACTATACTTGGAGACAGAAGAGTAATTCTGGTATGTTACTATTCTTGACAACAGAAGTAAAAGTGTAATCTTTATAAGTTACAATTATTGGCAACAGAAGTGTAATTCTGGTATGTTACTATTCTTGGCAACAGAAGTAAAAGTGTAATTTTTATAAGTTACAATTATTGGCAACAGAAGTGTAATTCTTGAGTGTTAATGTATTTCCAGATACAACTTCTTTCAGCATATTTTCACTTAATTTATGGTTTTACAATTTCTTTCTTTCAGATTTTTCTAATGCACTGAAGAATTCCTGATTTTTTCACAAACAAAAATGGAACCTTTTGGTTTGGTAAACTGTTTCACCAAAATCAAACACAACCACCTGAAAAAACAAACAAACAGAAGCTAAAATATCAGAAATATGTACTAAACAGTTCTAATCCACCAAAGCAAATTGTAGATATGCAAAGCAAAAAGAAACAGGAAATGACAGATTTTTTAAACTTGCACATTTTCAAATATACCAGAATACCAAGAGATCAGAATATATATACACACACTATAAAACAGAAATAATGATGTGTGAAAAAGAAAAGACATTTCTAAGAATACACAGTATAGAATTTTCCTTGTTAGTTTCAGAAGACCTTTGTATTTAGGTCATAGATACTGTAAAGTTTATGACGATTCAAATAGACTCCTCAGCAATGAAGTTATCAGAAACATCTGTATTTACCAGATATAGGGTAAAGTTTTTCATGATTCACATATGTTAATAATGAAGTTATCAGGAATATTCGTATTAATTGTACAGAGGGTACAGTTTATAATTAGTCATGTGTATGTCAGTAGTGAAGTTATTGGTGGTGTGCTACCATTTACAGAGAAATTAAGAGCCTAAACTTTCATTTTATTTTCCCGAGACAATGCTTATCACCATCTTTTACAAATAAGTGTAATGACAGTTTAATACACAATACAATCTAAAAGTGAAAACTTTTATTTTACTGATGGTCAAAACTTAAAGAACAATTTACTTGAATATTACTGGGTATGTCCATCTTAATTAGAATAACTCTAAATTTCTTTTTCACGAATGTTTAAGATAAACTGTACTAAAGAATTGTTTAAATATTACTAATCGCTATTTGTTTCAAAGATACAAAGCATTTCCTAGTAGCAAAAACCAACACAATTATATCAACACTACATAATTATCATTAGTTAAGCCTAATTCAAGGCAACTTGACTTGAATGCACGCATTCGTACATGAGGAACACATGCAAGGAAGCATGCACACATACTTTATTACATATTTTCATGTTAACTTGGTGCTTATTAATTCACTACTCAACATACAAATTTATGTATATTGCTTCTCAACATTTAATTTGACCTGCCCTTGTGACCTTGTAACTTTCTACAGAAGATAATTCAAAAAGAGGCAGCAGCAGCCTGACTAAATGTTCCACAAGTTCTGTGGTAGCTGCTTCTATCATGATGTAATCCCCATATTTTAGACAGCTTCTAATAATATATATACATGTCAGTCATCATAAATTTAAAAATGGTCCACACTTGTCAACTTCCCATGAAGCAGTGGCATGTTGAAAAAGATTAGTGCTAATCTTAGTATAAAAAAAAAACAGGTTGATTTTTATGTAAATGACACCAGAAATAGATAACATCAAAGAAAATTTGCATATACCAAGGGATTAAAATTCAACTTCCATTGTTACAATTCTTCAAAATTCTAGAAACTTTTACCAAACATAACTTTCTCTAACTAATGTTCTTCACATACGATAACTATATATCTCTCTCAATAAATAAAACACTAGCTCAATTAATGATGAAAAAGAAAAAAACTGGACATGGATATAGATTAGAAAAATGCAAATAAGTATACAGATATTTCATCAGTACTGTGATGTTCAAACTTGGGTTAGTCTGTTTACAATGAACAGGCCCATGGTAATATAATTATGAGAAATCAAGATAAAAGAAACAAATTAAAGATATTACAATTATCTTGTCCATATATGAGCTTCAGACAAAGCAAATGGAGACCAAAATCTCTATAGAAAACACAATAACATTTGTACAGTCAAAGTCAAGTCAAAAGTGTGGTCAAAAAACATTAAATATTTCATTAAAACAACAGACAAAGTTTAAAACCAAAGCTGAAAAATCTGTCAAACATGTTGACATTATCTAGTGTCTAGACATACTGGTGGTGCCAAAACTTAAGGCAGGTTTTCAGTTATGGTTTTTTTACTTGTGGCCTTAAACTTTGTCTGGTGTTTCAACAAAATTCTTAAGGGCTCTAGATGACACAAGGGGACTGCCCATATGGTTAGAGATGCAACATATTTTTCCTAGAACAGAAGGTTAATCAAGGAGGAGGAGGCTCATTTGACTTGTTTCTATCATCTACATGTCTTAGCACTTTTCTACGGGTAGAAGAAGGAGAGGTACTTCTTCCTTCATGACTGGGATTTCTGTTAAGAGTTAGCCCTGAAGCCTGCCCTTCTCTTGACTGACCCCAAAATGAAAATACACTAGCTCCTGCTCTTGGCCCCAAAGGAGATTGCTGCATCATACTGTCTTGACAGGACTGGCCACAGCTGTTGATATTGGTGCAAGATGACTGTTGGGCTGAGTGAGTGGTAGATGATTTTATCGATGGTCTTTGGTTGACTTGTTGGGTTGTCTGAGAAACCTGAGTTGATGGCAATGCATGCCTTTGTTGAGGAAGATTTAAACAAGAAGAGCTAAACTGAGTTGAACCTTTAGATGAGGTTGTGCTTTTTACTTCTACGTCTTTGTTTACAGATAGTGCAGAAACAGATCCTTCTTGATCAACACTGAAATCTAACTTTTCAATGATAGATCCAAATCCACCACTCACTGAAAGCTTCTCTGCTAGTGTTGTAAGTAATAATTCCTGAACAAAAATACTATGATCTGCATGATCCACCTCAAGAGCTTGCTGTTCTGATTCAGTTAAATTACACTCTGTGTACCTGAAAAAGTTTACAGAGTGAAAACTACAATGTAAATAAATATTAGTTACAGAAAATAAATAAAATTACTAAACACAAATGTTACATCTTGCTGTGAGTGGGCTGGAAATATAACCACAGAGAAGCTACAGCTTTGATTCTGTGAGAAAACAAACGCAAATTAAAAACCTCGATATTTAAATGTAGTGTGATGCATATAATTTTATTTTTGTGTTTCATATACCCACTTCTCCATTCATTTACATCTGAAACAGGCAAACCAGGAAGGCAGTTAATTCCATTTCTTTCCATCGAAAAGGTTTATGCACAACACAGGAAGGAAATTAATGAATTTCATTCTTTCATAACCGTCAGCATGTCATTACTGCTTTAAGTATATATTCCAGTTATACTACAAAGTCATTAAATATACAGGATCACAAATTATATACTTAACAAGTGTGGGGTAAGTGTACACCTGCTTATCAAATTTAAAGATTTAAGTAAAAATAATAATTTTAACTCTACATTTACAATTGTTTTAATCAAAGGTATTTTAGAATTAATAATTAATATTTTGTCATCTTTTAACATTTGTATTATATAATTTGCAAAGAAAAATAAAAAAACACAAAAAACGATCAAACGTATTTCTGCCCAGCTCTGAGAAGTCTCACCTGCAAATAACACCTTTAGAATTTTATTTAGGATTTTTCTGCCCTTCCAAATTCATAAGATTATGTTTGCTAAGAAACTACCACCCCTTAGAAGTTATGTCACATGGTTTGTTTTTTGAGTGATTATCCTTCTCTTTCTAAGATTTCATTAGTACTGCCTCCTGTACTACATTTTTATGACTACAAGCATGTGATGTGAACAAATACTAATAAATCTCAACAGTTATAGGCAAAGTTTAAATACCATCGGATAGAGTAAATAATAAGCTATTGATATCAATGTACAGTGAATAAAGTGGTATGAGAAGTAAGTTGTGGTTTCGTGGGGAACTCAGAAGACCTAGATTCTGCAGAGAAGAGCAATAGAATCTAAAAAAACGTTAATAATAATTACAAACAAATCATAGATCTTAGAAATTTTTTACAGTTTTTTTAAGACATTATTTTTGTTCTTGAAAATGATAACTATATTTTCTTAAAAGTTATGAAAATTTTCTTGTATAACAATATAACGAGACATCAGGTAAGCCTAGTTAGGTTTAGAGAGTAAGGTAGTTAATGGCAAATATTCCAATGACTCAAATCCTTACTTATTGAATATTATTTTTAACTTTATTGTATTCATGCAGCATAGATAATTAAAATAAATTATTATTTATTGGAAAGAAACTACTCTTATAAGAAATAATGTCCTCCAAAAATATTATCACAGTGGATTCACAGACAATTCACAAAAATAAATTCACTTCACTATGTTTATAAATCATTGTCTGTGAATTTACTATTATATTAGAATAATGTGCTTTTATGTTATCATGTATTACTATCAGTGCTCACTAGATGACATTGGAGAAAAGCATTCCTACTCCTTATTGTAGTTTCATTGAAATAATATATACCACATACACGTGCAAAAAAAATAATAACAGATCATAAAAGAACTTATGTTTCATTAACATATAAATATAGACTATCAAAAATGGAAATAAAAAACCATTTTTGTTAGCTCATTTCCAAAAACAGCTTGTCAAAAAAGGGGTTAAATACACAGCTTAAGATGTACACAATACATTATTTATAGAGCATCTTTAGTACACAAGACTCAAAATCTAAATATATTCAGGCATGCACACTAAATTAGATATTAATTAAAACATATATATCCTTGTTGAGTTGATCTTATGTTGTTAACAAGTACATGACTCAAAGTTCTGAATGTCCTTGATGCAATGAAGAGTATATGTTAATTACCCAGAATTCTACATTCTCGTACATAATGTATTACACACGTTATATCTTACATATGCTCTGCTTTGTTGCCATAATTCAAAATTATAAGTTACAATTGTGGTGGAGAATTACATATGATTCAGCTGTGGGGAGCTGGGTGAGAATACATTTCACAGGTAAGTATCATATCACATAGACTTACCTCCGAGATTATGGAAGCCAGAATATCCCCACTGAAAAGGAGGTGAGAAAGAGAGTTAATACAAGTTACAAGGCAGGATGGTAATAACCTAGACCACAATAAAGTTGCCACACAGAGTAAAGAACCAGAAATTTGTTAATTTATTTGTTTGTTTGCAGTAAAGCACAAAGCTACACAATAGGCTATCTGTGCTGTGCTCACTATGGGTATTGAAACCCAGTTTTTGGCATTATAAGCTTTCAGACTTATCAATGAGCTGCTGGGGGCAATATTGGAAAAACAAGATTCAAGGGAGAATGAGTGGAGTGGACCAGCCTTATATAAAGGCTGAATCTAAGGACAAATAGAAGGAAAACATTTTTCACTGAAGGATGTCCAAGATGAAGAGATACCGTTTAACTGTGGAGCAAACAATGGCAGCACTGGTGATGGCATAAACAGTTATGAGGAGTAGTATGTCTCACTCCTGTAGTGGAAGGTTATCAGAGCATCCCAGTCAAATATTATGAGTTGATACAGTCCTGGTCTTAAGAACCTCCTTGTCCAAGGTTCTCAGAGCATCCCAGTCAAATTTAAAGTGTGGATATATTGCCTGGTCTTAAGAACCTCCTCATCCAAGGTTCTCAGAGCATCCCAGTCAAATATTATGAGTTGGTATAGTCCTGGTGCTTAAGACCCTCCTCATTCATATCTGAAAATTCCAGCGAGTCATGGAAATGGACAACAAGTGGACACTCAGGGAAAAACAGAGAAATACCAAAGCTGGCCCAGGAATGGAGCTCAATTGCTTGAGAACAGTGCAGTAGGAACATTAAAATAAAATAGAATACAAATAAATTATGTAGATCTTCCACATCCTAGTTGGAAATATTGAGAACAGTAATGTGCCTCAGGTATCTATAATGGTATGTATTTCTAGAACCCTAATTAGCTCCCACTGCCATACTTCTCCTGAACAGGACACAAGTACAAAAGAAAAATTGTGCCAGGACAAATGAAGAAGGGAAAAAGCCCAACCAACATCAGCTGTAAAATTTAGGGGGAGTATCTTTAAACATAACACAATGGACTAAGGTCTCAAACAAAAATAAGAGCCACGTGATAACAGAAACTACATCAGTGAGTGTGGCTAACAAAGACCGAAAGATAGAAAGGAATTAAGTGAATGAGAATAGTCAATGGATAATATCTATTTTCAAAAGGAAAGACTTAAAATGAAACAAATCATAATTTGCAGGGAGGGAAACTCACAACAGGTAAAAGTAGAACCCTCAGTACTTGGATGGCTTAAGAAGTGGATCAAACAAACCACAAATATATTTTTCTTCCATAACACTGTTAAGGTTATTTCCAATAAAATTATAATGATGATTTAAATTTTCATATCCCACCTTACAATTATTATAATTAAAAGCCATCTGCCATTTATTGACCCAACTCACAAAATAATCCAAATCCTTTTGTAAACAAGCAGCATCTTCCTGACAGCCAGAAACACTCAAAACTTTAATGTCCTCAGCAAATTTAAATAATCTATTGACCATTCCTTTATCCATTTCATTGGTATAAATTAAAAAGTCCTAACACTGAGCCCCGAGGTACCCCACTTGTGACACTAATCCAGTTTGACCAAATTCCATTTATAACAACCTTCAGGTTTCTTCCATACAGTCAGTTTTCAATTCTATGAGCCAACCTAGCTCTCACACCTAGAGAGAAACTTTTTAACAAAGCCTTTTATGTGGCAACTTGTCAAATGCTTTTCAAAAATCCAGAAACCATACTGACAACCCAACAAAACTGTAAACTTTGTTAAATGAATTTGTAAAGCATCTTTCAAAACCTTTTTCCATCACCTATGTAAGACTAATACACCAACAATTACTGGGGCAAATTTTATCAACTCCCTTGAAAAGAGGAGTGATATTAGCCAACTTCCAATCTTCTGACATCTGCCCACCATTCAAGGTCTTAGAAAAAAAAATAGTGGCTCACATATCCAATCCCTAACTTCTTTCAAAACCCTTGGGTAAATATTATCTGTCCCAGGAGCTTTATCATTCTTTAAACTTCACAATTTTGTCTTAACCAGCTTAGAATTAATGTGATCATCTTGTTTCTATCTAGAAACTGTTTTAGATGAAGAATATTGATTAAATATTCCTTAGTAAAAACTAAAACAAAGTGAAATTTAGTCACCTAAACATCCCGTAATCATCAGATATTGGCATTCCTGTACCACCCCTCAAAAGACCTTTTCCCACCCCAACATTCTGCTTACCCTTAAGTTATTTAAAGAAATCCTTACTATTAATTTTTACATTTTCACCCAACCTTTTTTCATATACTTTTTGATTTCCTAATTTCCCATTTGACCAACTCTCTTGATGTTCTATAATCCTCCATCATTGCAGTCAATAGAAACTTTTTATATTTATAATGCTTTTCTTTAATAATATCCTTTATACTGTCATACATATTGTTTTTCTTGTTTGCCTAGATTGAATATTTATTTTTAAATGTTTTCACCTTTTATCAGTTTCTCCAACTAATTCAATTTCCATCTTTTCAAAATTTTGAACCAAATCTCATTATTCTTTATCTCCATATGCAGCAAAACATCAAATCTAATTGAGCAAAGATTACTTGCACCCAGATTTTCTCCAATCCCTACCATGTTTAAATGTAAATCATCCTTTCCAAAAATCTCCCTTTTACAACTGAACTGATCCCACAAATCTAACCAGCCAACCTGTTCATCTTTACATGTTAACCTAAGCCTAGCATTCAGTCCTAGTGACATACTTATAACAATTAACAATTTCTAAAAACATCAGCAATGATTCTAAAATCAAAAGAAGGCAGAAAATATAAAGATTCAAGAACTGAAATGTCCAGCACGACATCAGCACTTTCAGACATAACAGAAAAAAAGTTCAAGACCTAGAACAGAATTCACTTGAGAAAACATATTAGATAGGCCAGCAGAATCTTCAAATTTAGGGATAGCTGCCAAACCCTGCTCTGTGAATAATGAAGTTGAATAAGTCCAAATATTTATTTTTATATTCATTTCTTATTATTATGAGAAAAAGGCAAGAGTTCTACATATGAATGAATGAGAAACCCGTGAAGTATGTTACCACACAAACAGAAATAAAGGCCTTAATATATTGGGAAATAAGAACTGACAATGATGCCATGGGATCCTGCATGCTAGAGACAGACTACACAAGTAAAGCCTCAAAGAAGTTGTAGAAATTCTGATGGGTATGTTCATGTATGCTCTGCATTGCATTAAGAACATTTAAAACTTTATGTTTCATGGTTATTGACAGCATAAGAGTAACTCAACATGGAAATGCTTTAAGTTTTACAGAAATACATCTACCAGATTTGAATACACAGCTTCTGACACAACATTAAGTAAAAAACACAGTTTTAGACAAACATACTGTATTCAATACACATGTTCAAGGTTACACTAGAGGAAATGCATCAACTTCCAACATCTACACTGGGTTAAATACACAGCTTCATACATACATAACATGTTAAATATACAGCTTCATACATACATACACGTGTTAAATATAGAGCTTCATACATACACAATGTGTTAAATACACAGCTTCATACACACACAATGTGTTAAATACACAGCTTCATACATACACAATGTGTTAAATATACAGCTTCATACATACACAATGTGTTAAATATACAGCTTCATACATACATAACATGTTAAATATACACTTCATACATACACATGTTAAATATACACTTCATACATACACAACATGTTAAATATACAGCTTTATACATACATACACAACATGTTAAATATACACTTCATACATACACAAAATGTTAAATATACACTTCATACAAACACAACATGTTAAATATACACTTCATACATACACAACATGTTAAATATACACTTCATACATACACAAAATGTTAAATATACAGCTATATACATACACAACATGTTAAATATACAGCTTTATACATATACAACATGTTAAATACACAGCTATATACATACACAACATGTTAAATATACAGCTTTATACATATACAACATGTTAAATACACAGCTATATACATACACAACATGTTAAATATACAGCTTCAGACATACACATAAGGTTAAACACTGTAGTTTGTACATACACACTAGATTAAATACACAACTCCAAACACAAATATTAGGTAAAACAGACAAGCTTAGACATACATTAATATTTATTAAAACATTATAAATAATACAATAGTCAGTTCTCAACACAGCCACTTACTCTGATTTTACTACTGATGTAATTTTCTTTTAGTTTTAATACACAACTTCAAACACAATTACTAGGTGAAACAGACAAGCTTAGACACACACACACACACCTATGTGAAATAAACAACTTGAGACATACATATAGGTGATGGAATTGGATGGTGGGGTTGCCCCCCTATTTTTCATGGCACAAAAATACAGATGTGTATATATATATATATAGGTGTATAGTAAAAGCTGAAATGAAAGATTTAGTTGGGATCATAACAATATGTGGAACTGTAATTGACTGAGTGATGTTACATGTTAACAAAGTTAATATTCAATTAGCCAAATACCTGAGACATCACCGAACATTTATAGCTGTGTGCATATGAACTGAGACATCACCTTCTGTGATGCATATCAAAGGAAGAAGTTACTGTATCTGCTGGTTAGAATACTGCCTCCAGGGAAAACTTCATTTTGAGAACACTATAGTCATGCACAAGATTTAGATATAGAAAGATCACTCATTCTTATTTGTCCATGTAAGCCTATGCCTTAACCCCCGCACTTTCAAATTCACTCCACAGCCTATATTAAATACATAACTTAAGATGCACACTTGAATAAACATCTAAATTAAGACATATATATTATGTTAAATACACAATTTTGGGCATAGCAATTTACCTCATTTGATAAACATTGGTTATTGAATGTTTATTTGTAATTAAGCACAAAGCTACACAATGGGCTATCTGTGCTCTGCCCATCACGGGTATTGAAACCCGGATTCTAGCATTGTAAGTCCACAGACATACCGCTGTGCTACTGGGGGCAGGTTATCGAATGAGTTAACTTGTCATACGTATGAGTGACTTCGAAGAATCAGTTTAAATGTTTCTTTAATTTCAGCAAATAAAAATTCAAGTACAGCGAGTCCTCACTAAATTTACTGCATTATAAGTCATTTCTCATATTTGTTGTTGATGAATTATGGAACATATTCCACATTGTAAAGAGACATTAATAAGATTTAAAAAATTTTAAATGATGCATGAATGCAATAGGTAGCATTCATTCCCCAGTTTTGGTCTCACCCAGCTCTGCTATATTGGTTTGTGTTCATTTGAGTAGAGTTCACTAGATATCGTTTCACTTTAAAGCCACACTTTTTGGAAACACTTCTCTAACGTATAGCAAGGACTTCTTGTACAGCACATTAAAGAAATTTAAAATGAAATGTGACTTGTGATTATAAAAATGTTTACCTTGAAAGCAAATAGGAAGAGCTAGAGCATGATGCAGAAGGACTAGTTGTTGGCTCAACATGAAAAGCCTGGTTAAACTGTACAGCAGTTCCTCCTCCAGTCTGGTTTTGTCTACGAGGAAGACGTTCCAAATGCTGGCGAGCAGCCTGGGCCTGCTGTCTTTCTAGCTGAAGCTGCATCTGGAGCTGCTGTAGCTGAGAAGTTGTGTTAGATTGGTTCAGGTTGGTGGAACGTCGAACGCCAGACAACTGAGAAAGTAGCTCTACAAAGGAAGAGCCACATCCAAAGATAACAACAAATATGGATTACCATAATTCCAAATAATTAATATTTATTAAAACATTAAATATAATACAATAGTCAGTTCTCAACACAGCCACTTACTCTGATTTTACTACTGATGTCAATTTCTTTTAGTTTTAATATCATCACTTCAAATTGAATTAAACCTGTGGTGTTTATATAATAAGCAGAATATAGAATGTTTCATTTAGTACAGTACCACCACCTATGTTTACAGTTGCACCTAACACTATGTACATATTTAGTTAAAGTTCCTGCGATAATAAGAAAAAAATCAAGTTAAAATGTATTGTAAATGATAATGGAAACAGAGGGAAAAAAAAGGAATAAAAGGCAATAATGTGGGAAAAACAACCAATTATTGTGTGAAAATGAGCTGCACCAAAACATAACCACAATGTGATTCTAGACATGGCTTCCAGGACTGAAATACCACATGATAAGTATGCAAAAATAAAAGTTTTGGCTGGTGAATAATTTTTGTAAATGTTTTGACTTATAAAGACAACTAACCAACTTCTAAGGAAATCAAGCAGTGTGTTATGGAAATATGAATAATATCCTTTGAAAAACACAACTTTAGTTTGTTTACTTCTCATTAGATAAAATAATACTTGCTCGTAAAAAGTATATCTTTCACAGTACAGCATCTTACTCCTAGTGTTTCATTTACAAGTTCAGACTCTTTCTCCTAGTGGGTTCTACTTGTAGAGCTACATATTCTACCACAGACTCTTTCTCCTGGGGGATTCTACTTGTAGAGCTACATATTCTACCTCAGACTCTTTCTCCTGGGGGGTTCTACTTGTAGAGCTACATATTCTACCACAGACTCTTTCTCCTGGGGGATTCTACTTGTAGAGCTACATATTCTACCTCAGACTCTTTCTCCTGGGGGGTTCTACTTGTAGAGCTACATATTCTACCTCAGACTCTTTCTCCTAGGGGGTTCTACTTGTAGAGCTACATATTCTACCACAGACTCTTTCTCCTGGGGGATTCTACTTGTAGAGCTACATATTCTACCTCAGACTTTTTAGACCTAGAAAAGGTTTATACAATGAGAGAACAATGTATTCCTGGACATCACTATAATTCCAAATGGATGTTAAGTAGGATTTATTCATTTTCACAAATCACATCACGAAAGAACTAAAAATTAATTTTCTTCAGCTACAACTAATAGGCTATATAGAAAACTGAAGTATTTATTCAGGTTCATAAATTTGAAAGTCAAACACTTTTCTGGTCAGAGATAACTAACTTAAAAATACTTTTGTGATGTTTCATTGGAACTTTAATGAATTGCAAATGCTTGTAGAAAGAAAGGGAGACAACATTTCAGCTTCTATACTGAGCCCTTCTTCAATTTACCCTTCTTGCAACTAGTTTTACTACAATGTTTTTCAGTTTAAACTTCTTTATCAACTGAAGATCCTCTCTCAATTCATGTTTCGCAGTAATAACATTTTTATAAGTTACCATAACTTTAGGATAGTCTTTTAGGAAAAGGCCTTAAATTAGAAAATGTATATCCTGTCTCCGGATCAAAATTCTACATTCCCTATTGATCTCTTTTAACTAATTAATAAACTGTTTGAAGGTTTCATCTCCACAAGTTTCAGATTATGTCTCTGCTAGAACCTGAAGAAACTTTTTCACATTTGGCCTTGGAACCTTTATGATTTCTATGCATTTGCTGTGGTTAAGGGCATATCATGCATCTTATAAGAACTCTTAACACCTTCTTGGCCATTTAAGCAAGGAATAATCTCCATTCCCACATTCAGAGCATCACTGTAACTGCTGTTCTTACCATGTGTGCTTTCTGTTAGAACCACCTCCTTTGCCTCCAATCTTTAATCCAACTTTGTTAGATTTTTAAAAACCTCTCTCTCTTCTGGATCAACCATTCCCAGACATATTTTTCAAGTAAACTTTTACTGATATATAATAAGTCTGTAACTATATGTGAACTGTTAGTTAGCTTTGGAACAATAAGAAATTATACACTGGAAAATATTTGTTTCCAAGGGTTTCAACCATATTATCGATGTGAACGTCCTTTGTAGTCGCTATCTGTACGGCTTTGATATTGAAACATCGGGTTGAAGGTCAGTGGAACAGATTATATAAACTAAAGAGAAATTTTTCAGCATCAAGGCATGACTTAACAGCACTGATTTTAATGGTCCCTTTTACTGTGTACAGATCACAACTTCTACCATTTAGAAAAGAATTGTATTTTCTTTTCAATGCATTGCTTATAAGGTGAAAGAATTTCTAATTAATGCATGGGACAATCACAGAGATTTGAAGAAAATTATAGAAATCCTTGCTGTAAATAGTACCATTTCAAATCCTGACATGACAGTCAATTTGCTTTTTTTTGTTAAACTCGGTGACTCCTCTCACAAAATGCACAAAGTCTTTCTCAGAATACCACAGTCACATTTGCTGGCTATTGACTGTGTAAAAACATTTACTCATTAGGCTTGTGAAAGTTTATTATCTATGGTCGGAGTTTGATGCTACAGCTAAAGTTTTACTATGTCATTCTTTAACATGGTAGTAATGACCATTAACAATCAAGCTTTCCAAAATTCATCAAATTATTATATTCAAAAAGGCGTGTTTGTTTGTTTTGAATTTCACGCAAAGCTACACGAGGGCTATCTGCACTAGCAGTCCCGAATTTAGTAGTGAAAGACCAGAGGGAAGTCAGCTAGTCATTACCACCCACTGCCAACTCTTGGGCTACTCTTTTACCAACAAATAGTGGGATTGACCATCACATTATAACACCCCCATGGCTGAAAGGGCAAACATGTTTGGTGAAGGGGGGATTCGAACAAGCGACCCGCAGATTGCGAGTTGAGCGGCCTAACCACCTGGCCATGCTAGGCCAAAGGAGTGTGATCTAGATAAAATAAAAGTTATATGGCAAAATATGGAATGTTACTAATTTTAATATTTAGTCTATAAGAAAAAGTATTCATGTTTGTAGAACTTTGAAAATATGTTTAACTAGGCTTTATATATTTCTTCCCAATTAAGAATACAGATATTATACTATATGCTTCCTGAGTGTGAATCAACTTTTATGCCTAAAATCAATTATTTTGTTGGCAAGTTACAACACTCTTAATATTGACTGTATAAGCTCAAAAAATAAGAGACTTTGGTCATATGTTTTTTTTTATATATGTATATTTATTTTGGTCAAAAGTTTATTACATGCTTAAGGAATGGATACAAAACACATAAAAACAAATAATACAGAACCCCCAAAATGATTAACATGCAAGTATGAAAAGTAAATTGGCTGCATAACTGGCATTTCAAACTCTGAAAATATAGGCAAGTTTGAGCTGGAAGTGGTTAGGTGTCCATTAGATAGTACTCAGTACAGTGCAAAACATATTGGAGCTTATAAAGAAGAAAAAGTATTTTTTTATTGTGGCATGGCTAGTAAGTCCCACAGACCACCCACATGAATGCAAATTGAGATGAGCTACATGGCCCAAGTGTTTGTTATGCAGAAGAAGAAAATGACAGTCATCCCTGACTAACTGTCAGGATAGCATTCAGTAAAGCAAGGGAAAGATGTACTGAACAGTGCAAAATGGGATGGAAAATTATTCTCATTGATATAGCACATAAAATTGGAACCAGTAATAAGACAATTAACTTGGAAGTTTGCATTGATAGCAGCATACTGACAAATGGAGATTGTTCTAGCAATAAAACAGCACATTTGTCAACACCAAGAGTCAAGCCTTGAGGTGTGGCCAAGATGTACAAGGATGTTGTGCTTGACTATTTCATAGACTTGCTGACATGTCAGAGGTAGTATTGTGACTGAAACACGTGCAGCCAACACTAATAAACCATTCCTAAAACACCAGGAAATTCAATCAAATGTCTCATATCTTCACAGTATCAGGTCTCGAAAGTAACTTTTATTTTTTTACCACCTACTGAAAAATGTCTGTTCTTTAAAATTCATTGACAAAAGTGTTGAAATTAACAAGGAGATTTTGAACTTTTTATATATATATCCTAAAAAAAGAAGATTCTGGTGAAGGCAACACTTTTGTTCTAATACGTTTTTTGCTGTAAAATTTACCTCAGCTTCGTCAACTATAAGGCATCTGTCCGCAGGGCCTTCTTCATCCAGCATGGAAAAAGTATGGTCAGTGCACTATCTAGTTTGGCCAAGGCACTAGTTGTAGTGATGTGATTACATTGAAAGAACAATGAGACTTTATTGATTTGTTGAAAAACATCCTGAAACAGAAGTGTGTAAAATAACAAATTTAATCTCTGAGTTTCCAAGAAATCTTTGCACTATTGCCATCTTTGCCAAGCTTCTCAATGTTCTCAGAAAACTTTTACATGTGCACAGTTATATTTGGCCAGTTATTCAGAAGTTTGAAAAGAGCAATTTTCTTACACTTTATCCATCCTGTTCCATTGGCTGTGCATGTTTTAGAAACATTATCTTCCATCATTTCTGCTACCTAATGTATTTCTCTAGGGCACTTTTAATAATTTTTGTAGAATGAGTAGATTTATGTCAGGATATGAACTACTGTACCAGTAGATGACACTTCAAAATATGTCCTCCATGATGACTTACATTCTATGGGCCATTCAGTAATTTGAACTAAGAAAGACACATTTGATGCTAACAATGTGCCCATGTCAGCATCCACTCCAAAACCCACCATCTTGGATTTAAATTCATTGGTAGGGTGCTTCCAAAATACCCGCAGATTTGGGATTTTTTTATATTCCCACAAGCTTGAGGTATGTAGTATGAGAATAAAAGTTTTTATTATCTGAACACAGTTTTTTTCCTGCATTCATTCTGCCTGTGCTATGACCAATCATAAATGAAGTCTGTGGCATGTAATGGTTTCAATTCATCATGCAGTGATGGACATTCTACATCAT